TCTTTTTTAAAGACAATAATTTTTGAGGCAAAATACCCAAAAAGAAGTTTGTAAAAAAATAAAGAGCATTGATTAATGAATTTGAGTATTTAACTTAAATTAAAAGATTTATATTTTGTACATTTTCTCACGGAATCAGCGTACTGAGTCCTTTCAATCTCTATTTTAATGTAAAGACTGAACTTGACTTTGACGAAAAATATTATTATTTGACTGGTTTGTAGTTTAGATTTAGACTCGATAGGTTTTACCGAGACTGTGTTGCGCGTGATTTCCTGGGCACTGTAGTGGGAGTTGATTGGCGCGTGATTCCTTTAACACAAACTAAGACGGGCTAAGACCTAAAATCCGTGCTGTTTATACAAATAAATCCCAGATATTAACACGTCTTTTGAGTAGAATTTACGTGGGATATTATCTTAAGTTTAATGATTCAGAGGGAAAATTAGCCCCCAATACTTGTACACTGGCACGTGCCTAATTTCACTTTCCAACTATCAGCTAATATTTCCTAACAATACGCCCTTGCATTGTTATAATATCGACTAACTTTAATAAGCACTTGCAGGCTTGCTTAGCGCGTTTCTCTTGTTTCAAAGTTTTGAACTATTGAACTTCAAGCCGCTTGATTCCAGGGCCAAGTACAAACTTTTTGCAATACAAACATTGTACGAACAAACATAATAAAACGTTTTGGCTATCAGCGGTCAGACCAATAATTAAGTATTATTTATTACCTTAATTCAGTCGGAATATAGCCAACAGAGCTGACAAAGTGCCATCAAGTTCCTTGCAATATTTGATAAGTATTACCTAGCATAGATAAGGGGGATTTGGCTAATCTTATCAGAAATTAAACAGTGGTCTACTTCCATTTCATTTATAGCATTTACTAATATGCCATTTTAAGCAGCAGACAGCCACGAAAAAGAGTTAGAATGGATTTTTACAAGAAAATTATTAAGGCCAAAGATCCGAACAGTGTTCTAAGTGATAAAGAGTGCAAGTGTGCAAGTTTGCAAGCAATAACCAATGAGGCAATCAAGGAAAACAACAAAAAAAGGTTAAGAGAACTGGTAGAAGAAATCAACAGCCATTTAGCCGACCTGAGGGCAATCACAGAGGATAAAGAATTGAAAAATAAAGTCAAGTGCCTGGATTTAATCAAAAAGTTTGAAGATTGTCTGGTAAAGATCGTCAACACTACTTCGCAAAATATTTTAGAGCCAATCAAAGCTCAGTTGCTGGTCATTCAGGACCTGACCAATAAGGCAATTGCAGCCAATAACTACGACGAACTTAAACGACTATCAGAAAGAATCGAAAGAAATATAATGATCGTAAATGAAATTCCAGAAGTGAAAGGGGCGAGAAATTCAACGAATGGGGACGAGAAGGTTTTAGCCCTGGCAAATAAATACACCGCTGTATTGAATGAAGTTCTGAGCCATTTGGCACATAAAAGACACGTCTCTGGTGAGGAAATACATAATGAGATTGAAAATATTGAACAAGGTAAGTGCATACGCCGTACCTACAACTGTGATGAGTAAATTTGAGTCAACTCTATATAGAAAATTACAAAGAGTGAGTCAAGGCTGAGTTATTTATTTGTAGCTTGCTAGTGGATAATTTCAATGTTTAAAAATATCGAGTGTTTAGAGACAAATAAGTAGTTGTGATGTACAATAAAATATTAACGGTTGTTTATAATTTTTTCAGATAAACTTTCAGACCTGAAGAAGGTACCACCACCAGGCGATACTACTAAAATTGAAATAAATGAAATAGAAGAGAAACTAAAGCAAATGCGGCTGCGACGCTTGAACCGGCTAAGCGTTTTTGTTGATGAGCAAAGTATTTTATCTAAGAAAAGACAGAAAGAAATTATACCACAAGGTATAGCTAATCAAAGATTCAATAAAGAAGCTATAACAGAGCAGGAAAAAATTAACAAAACTATTCGCTTTCCCGATGTTGTTCATCATTCTTTATACAAAACGTCAATACAAGACAATTACGAGAACAAAGAGGACAATAAAATCGCAACAATTAAAAAATTGGAAAACGCTGAAATTAGTGGGAGAAAAACTATGGTTACCAATAATACAGCCCTCAGAAGTACTATCAATAATAGTAATACAAAACCAGGTGAACATATTATATTTGTTAACAAAACAGCTTAAGAAATATTCTAAAAATTTGCTCTTGCTTTCTCTTTTGATGCGTAGTTAAATGATTTTATTTAAATCGTTGCGTATCCTTTGCTGATTCACGTTTATTGAAAGCTTTTTTGCGCTTTTTCGTGTATAAACTATCCAACAATACAAATATTCTGGAATCAGCTTAATTACAAACATTTTAAATTTCAGTCAATATTTAAAATAATGACCAAGTCAGTAAAGTCATTTTAGTAAAGTTTTAAGAAATAAAAGTCATTTTTTATTTTAGTAAGCTCGCAAAATATGAGCTCACCACCACAACCCAGTCTATTAAATAGGCAAACGATTTTCGATGATGAAAATGCCCCAATTAGGTATAAGTTCAGTGCTACGCAAAAAACAGATTCATCCGAATCCAAAAAGGAAACAACAAGTATTTTTAGAAATAGTTTTGGCAAAGGAGGACTAACGAGAAGTTTTGCGGAAAGGCAAATTGAAAAGGCGCGAATACAAAGTAAGTGGGTAATTTAATCAAGTTTACAACCTAGAGATTAAATAGAGCAACATAAATTGAAAAATGTCTTGTAATTGTAAACTCTGGTAATTGGAAGTAGTTTAAGACGATGTTTTCAGAATGAGTTTGTTGAATAGTTAGAAACTGCCTCAATTTAGTCTATTTTAATAGAGGAGCTCGTAATCTTCAAATATAAGATACTTTAGAAGTTAAATTAAGTAGTGGCATTAATCTCGAAGAAGTTTAAACATTTTGCCAACGCGTCTTTTGGTTAATTTTCTTCACATTTGATAAAAGCATAACAATTTGCAAAAAAAAAACTGAAATAAATATAAATTTAAAAAATGCAACAAAATAAAGGCGAAATAAAAAGCAAGTTTGGGGGATTGTTAATTTTAGGCCAAACTCAGCTTCCAAGGAAGTGAGAGCCAATAGTGAAGAACTGTGAAATATGTATATAAATAAAGTACAACCATTAGTAGGTGCGTCGCGTCAATCAAAAGCAATAAAAAATGGGTGTTCATCATAATTAATATGAAGAAAAAAGCACGGTTGAAGATTAACAAATAACACTCCTAATCGTCGTTTGCACAAATCTGAAACTAAGTGGAAAAATGTTAAAATAAAAGCATTTTTGGTGCCTTCGTGTAAACGATTTTCGACATTCTCAAACTAAGAAGTCTCTTTTTGCCAAAACCAAACAGTAAAATATTGCAAATAAATATTGCCGTATAGTTATATATGTACAAGGTGTTTCATGAAGAAGATGTATTATTTTCACCACGTATTCTAGGTACGAAGGTAACCCTAGTTTGTTGAAATCAAACCATTTTTGGGCTATCCCTATGAAACACTTACTAAATATTTATCAGAAAAATTATTTCAAACGTAAAAAAAATGTTTATTGTAAATATGGTGCACATCCATGCATACATAAATTGGTTATTTATAAACATCAACACATCAAGTTCAGAAATAATCAAATCTTGCAAACGAACTTCTGTATATTAAGCACCTCCGATTTTTCATAACATTCTTCATCAAACCATCAACAGTATAAAATTCCTTTCTAAGTAACAATAATCTGTGCAGAATTGTTATGATTTCAGATTAATCCAAACAACCAGTGAAAAATTGAAAACATTAACTTTAAGCTTAAAGCGTTTCTCATATCTCAGTCAAGTATCTCATTTGAGTCATTATTCTTGGTGGAAACGTCGCTCGCTTTTAATTGTATAACGCGATAACGCACCCCAATTTCCAGCCTTTTCTCTGCCAGCTCTTGATGAGCTATTATAACTACTCAAGAACATTTTATAATAGCGTTTACTTATCCGATCATTAATTATATTTAAATCATCTGATCAAACCTTTATTGTCTAATGTAATGTTTCTTTTTTCCTACGTTTGTGTAGGTTTACCTCTAACCGATTACAGAAATGTATCTCATTAGACCAAAAAATATATTATTTTCATAAGCATCCTGAAAGGGTAAATTATCGTTAATGTATCAAATGGCTAAACCTTTTATATGTATAGCAAAAAATTGATTTAATTTCTTTAGATGAAAAAGACCAGCCTGCTGAAACACCCAACATCACCCCACCAAGAAGTCCAATACAGATAAGGAAAATATTTAGTAGCTTTAACTGTGCTCTAGGGACGAATAACAAATCAACCGAAGATGTGAGAGAAAGTTACAGTCCGATTGATTCAGAGTTTAAAAGAGTTGAAACGGCAAAACGTGAGGTTGGGAAGGAAACGAAATTTATTATAAACAATAATGATATGAAAAATGTGGACAGAAATCAAGACTTAGGTCCGCCTAAAACACAGGTAAATTAAACGAAGTCGCATGGTAGCACAATACAACGAAAATTTGCTAATCAGTTATGATATAATAACAGCATTTCAAACGGGAACTTTGAACTTCACAGAAAACTTTTTCGGCAACCCATTTTCCATTGGATCAAGTATAAATACAAGCCTTTACTATAATCCAGCGAATAACAGACTTTAGAAGTATTTTAAGTTGTTAAGCTATATAATATACAGTTTTGAAGCCCGGTTCTTGAGAGTTTAACTTTGGTTAACCAAATTCATTAATTTCTAGGAAATCCATGTGGATGTTGAGAAGTTACCAGCTGCACCAGATAGAAATAAGAAACCCGTATTTCTAAAAACAAAGGCTTCTGCTGATCCGCCGATATCTCAATGTGAGTAAATTAACAGTTAATAACTAGGGAGTAAATATAACAAAAAATCACAATGTTACGAATCTTTCCAAATTGAATAAATATTTTTGTGGCTATTCAGTAGCCAATTCTAGCACTTCGGGTCGATAAAAAAGTACCTATGAAAAAACACTTAGCTTCGACAGTAAAATTAAAGTGTAATCAATTGCAACGAAAAACAGAAATTATTTCAGCCAAAAATAGCAACGTTATTTAGGCGAATCGTTCTTTGGTCTCGTGGTCATCAATATAATAGAAATATAATGCAATACGTATTGTTTAAATATTATCATTAAATTTTTTTACAAACTTTTTTTGGATATTTCAAAAGTGAAAGGGGCGAGAAATTTAAATATTATTATTATAACTCAAAATTATCATTTAAATTTCTCTTTTTTTAATTTTAATATCACGTCAATCACAGCAAATATCGAGCCGCATTGGAGAAACGAAAAAAATGTTACACTCGCTTATGAAGCTTTATATTTACTTTGTTTGCATATCTACGAATGACCACATATATCAATTCAAATACAGGATGACTGAAAATTAAGTGCATACGTTTTAGGACCATGTTTTACGTCAAAAAATAGGGAATAATAACGTAAAATCAACGTTTGCTTTCCTACATTAGAAACTTTTCTCTTATTCTAAGACGCGTCCTAAAAATTATCACTGACTTGAACCACACTGTATAATATAATATAGTCAAATCCAACGCACATTCAATGCGATCAACATTCTTTACCAATTTCAGCCTGAATTACTATAAAACTGAACGTGATTTTTATAAATACCTGTTAAAAATCCATTTGTTCAATTCAACCAGGGAAACTTTAAATAATTGATTTTTATGTAAATTGAAGTTTTATAGTTAAAAAAAAGTATATTAATAACTTGTTAAACAAAGCTAAATGATTGCAAATGTGTTTTTATTCTTTGTGCCTTTCGTTCTGAGTTTTTGTTTTTTTATAAATTGCCAATTTGGTAACTTCACTTAAAACTAATTGCCTAAAAAAGAGCTAAAAAATGTAATTAAAAATTTTGGTTAAATTCAATTTAAACAAACGCCTGTATGTTTCCTTGGTGTAGGTGCTTCAGATTTTAGCATAATTAACCACGTATGACATAAATTAAATCTACATGCCACACAATCATCTTGAATTAGGAAAATTAATGCCCTTTCTTTAATTGTACGTGTTTTTGTTGATGCTTCCTATTCCATTAAAATTGGTGGCAATTATCAAATACATGTTAACAAATATGTGATCTATGAAATTTTTTGTTCTTTCTTTATGTTTGGTTTCTTTAAGGTGGTCTTGAGGTTTCCCCAATTACAAATTTATCACATTGGCAAGGAATTTTTTATATCTTCAATTTTTTCATGAGGTTTTGTTTTTTAATTTTTTGTTTCAAATTGTAGTTGCATATCTTGAGATAGTTCTAATACTGTATTTGTTACCTATTCGTTTAATTCTCTCTGAAATCTCCGGAATAAATGGAATACAAAGTTTAGTATAAATAGGATTAAATGGACTTTCAATTTCATTAACACATTGTCTTGCTCCTTTTCAGTGGTGATTCAATTGTTAATTCTTAATTGTACAGATATGATAAAAAGTCACCAAGTTTTCGTTCCCCATGACTAGAGATTAAATTAATTTATTATTTTTAGATTCCATTGACTACAAATCCGGTATGGAAAAAGCTCGAATCCAACTTGCCCTTCCAAAAGTGTTAGTCAAGTTTCCTCAACAATCATCCACAGACAACGACTTGGTGGTGGTTCGCCACAATGAAAGCACTGGAACCGATCAAGAACCACCAGAATTTATTACCATCAAACGAAACAGCAGTAATAGAGAACAAGCAGCTGATAGATGTTCATTTTCAACGTTTCGAACCAGTTCTGAGTCTGTGCGAGAAGACGACAGTTTTGCAGTAGACAATCCAATTTATCAAATTGTAAATACGCAAAAATCGTCCACCTGCTCAATATCTCGGCAAAACTCAGTGAAAGTAGATAACATGCTAATGGCGGCAGCAGATAAAGAACCAAGTGACTTTAAATTTAATACTCTCGATTTTATCATCAGAAAGCAGAGCCGAAAGATGTCTTACACAAACGACAATGCTAAGACTAGTAGGATTGAGGCTCTGGAACCAGATATTCGCAAACTTGAATTCATAATCAACATTTACAGAGGCTTAAAACGGGACGACGACTACATGCTACTCGACAAAGCACTCACTAAATACTACCTCAAAGTAAATGAACTTAGGACTGAAACCGCTTGTGATTCTTTGGAAAAGCAACAGTTATTGACTAGACTGAAGAAGGCTCACGATGACTTGAATTCTAGAGTTATAAAGAATGAGGAGATTTTGATGAGCATTTTAACCGAGCAAGTGACTACGATAGCAARAAAATTAGAAATTCCTCAAAAAAAATAATAACTCAATTAATCATGTATAAAGATGTTCTCTTATATGTATAATGACTGTGATAACTGCCCAATTCTTTAAGCAAAAAAKAATAATTATTTAATTTTAATTCCACTTTAATGGCAGTGGATTATAACCCTATATACGTTCACAATTGCGGCATAATGATATAGACTTTATGAACTAAGTTTTAGAATTGTTGTCTTGAGCAAGTTTCGAAAAATGCCAGTTACTTTAAGCTTTAAGGGTAAACCTACTGTAAAAGTTACCTGAAACATTTAGTTCCACCTTCAATATTAATTAAATATTCATATGGTTGTCAAACATTGATACATCCATTAAAATWTTTCAATARCAAAACAGTTTTATTTCATACCTCTATTCAAATTTATTTTTATTTATCAATCTTATTGGGAACGTTATTTTATACGTAAAAAAACTTTGATTTATYAATCCAAATCTAATAATAAACTTGTCTTCTTTATGGCATTGTTTTAAATTATAATACATTTTTAATGCGGGATTGAATAAAAGAAGTGAGGAAAGAATGAATATATTAATGCTCATGACGTAAAACAAAAGCGATTTGAAACCGCCTGTTAACCTGATACCATAAAAACTATATATCGTTTAGTGTATTTTGGGTCTCATTATTTGTATTGCCAAATAAACCGTTCCTTTTCATTCCCTCGAAATACGAAATAGCATAGTAATTATTGAAAGAACAACTTTTCGTATCTATAGATTTTTACAATGACAAAAAGCGATATAAAAGAAAAAAATTTCTCCGGAGAATGGATTTCAAGTTTTTACTGAACTGGTGGTTTATGTGGGTATATAATGTAAAAAAATGTTTAGCCATTTAATGAATATTCAGAATGTGTATTTCTTAAGATAATATTGCTATGTTTAAGAGGAAAACGTTCGAAATTCGGAAAAAGCTGATATTCCGGCTCGAATCAGCATAAGTAATAAAGCTTGGGTTTAATTAACTTTTCCTGAATAAGTCTGAAAGTATGACGTCTATGCGATTCGTTTCACCGATCTCGTGATTAATTAATTTGCTGATGGAAACATGCAAATCATTTGTTTCGTCAAATGTATGTAAATTTTAATGTTTCCAACATAAAAATGCTAAATATTTATCTTAATTTATAACAGAATTAATTGACAATTTGCTGAAATATAAAATAACTATACCTATACGTTTTAGAACTTAACTTATTCAAGATTACGATTTGCACTTTGTCGTTTTGCAAAAAAACACATCATGCGTTTCGCGAGATATTGACTAGCTATTGAAAAAATCAACATTACTGTAGAAAATATTTGTTATTCTAAAAACAGAGCGATTAATTGACATTTCCAATTATTACTGTTTCCACAATGCTTTTTTCAGGAGTCTGCTAATTTTTTATGCAGTCATTTTCATTCATAACTTGTTCACATTAAAAATTTTTTATCGTAGCCAGAATATCTTTATTTATTTTTTCGAATATTGCGATGTCCCTCAGAACATCTCGAATTGTCCTCAGAAGGAAAAGCGGAATGCAAATCGCTTTAGAGAAACATGCTATAGACTTCAAACTCGAACTAATTAAAAATATTGACCCTTTTTAACCAGTTTTTAATAAGTCACGATTTTTAACGGACGATATCTTATTATTGACCCAAACACAGCAAAAATACAGATTGAAATGCTTCTTAAGTCGGAAACAATTTATTAAACTTAAAGAACCCACATAAGAAATTTATTGATCGAAAATTTCATAGTTGAGCTTTAGTTTTTCTAAAAATAACAATGCGCTCATTGAAAAACATACTGCAAACTTCAAATTCGAAATAACTAAAATGTTTGACTCATTTTGAGCGGTTTTTGATAACGATCGTTCACGATCTTTAATCGACAAGATCTTCATTATCGACCGAATCACGTTAAATATACATATTGAAAAGCTTCTTAACTCGGAAACAATTAATTAGGCTCAAAAAACACCCAAACTGAAATTTTGATTTTTCAGCGAAAATTGCTGAGGAGTGGATCGATTATTGCGAAAAATATCAAGTCTTTCAAAATTTCTCAAAATCTACATCGTTTACTACATACACACTGATTGAACAACATACCGCAAACTTCAAATTCAAATTAATTGATTTTCTTACGCATTTTTAAAGATTTTTGATAGGTCATAATATTTGTCCGACAACATCTTCTTGCATATTGACTGAAAAACATTAAATATTCACATTGAAAAGCTTCTAAAGTCGGAAAATATCCACTGAGCTCAAGAAACCCGCATCAGAAATTTACAATTTACCACCTACATAGGTATACATATTCGAAAACTTTTTTGGTCGGAAGTCATTCAGCTCAAAAAACAGGCATGTGAAATACAACCTCGAAAATGCGAACATCAATAGAATGACATAAATTCAATAGAATAATAATAAATAACCGCATAGAATGACAACATTACATGAAAAACGCTAGGAAAAAAATACACGGATATCCTTGATTTCAATGGAACAACTTTGCAATTCAATTTAAAAACCGACAACTTTTTAATTACCGCCCTTCGGCTTGCTAATTCCTCATTACAATTAATAGAGGTTTTGCTGCGTTTTATCTTAAAAAGCTATATGCTAGACGCATTAAAACCAACAGTTCTATAGGGAATAATCTGTAGTAAGCACCTACCTTAAAAATTTAAGTTATTTTTGAATTCATTATGTCTCCAGGCGCCAAGAGACATCCCAATACTCGCAATTATTTTAAATACTTAAAGTAAAACCTGAAGCTCGCAAAAAAACGTATGTGCTTAAATTAGTGCCGCACAACGTCTGGTAAGTGTTTATTGAGTTCTGTACTGCGCCAACTAAATACATAATTATTTTTTTATTTATAAGTGTTTAGTTCCTTTATTACAAATACTGGAAAACTAGGAAAACGTGACTTTTACACTGTTTCTATTTCATATTTAAGTCACTTTATCAATTGTTTATAACTGCAAATTTGCTTTGCAACAAAGTAAAAACTAACAATTTTAAAAACCGCAATCCAAACTATGTAAACTATAAGCTTACAAATAAAGTATACCTGGTTATTCAAGATTGAAGTAATTTCAGGTAGGTATATGGGTAATACGTGCTATGGTCCTCAATATGAAAAAAGCAGAAAACGACTACAACGAAGTGAAAAAGAAATCATATTTGTTTTGCCCATAGTAGTAGTTACGACTGATTCAAATAGGCAATATGTCGTTTACGACCCCGCTAAAATTATGGCGTCCGATCAAGATCATCATAGATTGAGTACAGAAAGTGTTCAAAACAGTTCTAGAAGAGTATTGAAACATAAACCAACTCTGTTCCAACCGGTCAGGCTATTGCGAAAAATCATGTACCGATCTGGTTTACAAGAGTAAGTTAAAAAAAACGTAGAAAATGGATTAAAGTGAAGCAAAAACAACTAAAAAATAATAAGCCAATGGCAAACTACTCAAGACAATTAGCAGATAAGATGAGGATTAATTTCAATTGCAGGCAAGACAACAGCACAGGGAACCAAGAGAGGAAAGAGCTGAATACACCTTTAAATTGCATAATCGAACATTTTCCAACTACAGCTTTAGAACAAAAAGATTTAAATTCATAATCGTTAAGGAAATATGCCCTTACTGACCAGACGTAGAAAATTAATAAACAGAACCTAAATAACAATATATTTTTTAGTCAATTTGATTAGATTAGATCTTTGATTTCCAAGCGTTATATTATTTCGTTAACCCAAATAGTCTGCATAATTTTATAATAAAGGCCATAAAACAGATGGCAACTATACTAATTCTAAGGCGCTTAAAACGTTTTTCAAATTAAAATAGAACATGTTATTTTCATTAAATTATAGAGAGCGATAGGTAGGAAAACTTAGCCAAATTAAAACATTTCCAATCAATTAATTCAGGATTTATCCGTAATACCCAATAGTAAGAGGATCCATAAATCGCGGTTAGTGCTGGCCGATATTACCATTTAATGCAACTCCATAACATAAATAACTTGAATAAGTGTAATATAAATTACCAACTATTTCCGATTTGATTCATAAAATGCATTCACTTAATTGATTAGGCTGTTCAAAGGTGGAATTAGAATGTTATCTAAAATAAATTTAAGTCTAAATAGGAACAACATTTGTTATATGTATGATACTTATATTAGTTGTAGATTTTGCAATAGTAAATAAGTTAAATTATTATAATAATTCTTAATAAAATCTCCGTAATAACTTTTTTATTTTCCTACTTTTTACTTAAGTTTCAAATTCGCTATCGGGGCGATTTATTTATTGATATATAACGATTGTTGATATATTTTCGATCAGATGGGTTTATCGAACTCGCAAAAGTCCATCAAATACACTAAGATGAGATGGCAGGTGTATTTACAATAATTAAACTACGTAAAATAGATTATAGCTTTGTTTGCATTTATGGCCAAATAAATCCCAATAATTTATAGTTTCAAGTCAAGAAGAGGCCACAACGAACGAATATGATATAAACCTATATGAACAATAAATTAAAGAGCGGTTTTATTCATTTTATATTCAAAATTCACAATTTAAAGACAAAATGGGGCCTAAATTGAAGGACAAAATTTTGAGAATTATGTTATTAACTATTAATTACTTTTAAGTTGATTCTCCGTTCTAGAATATTAACAGCACAATAATATTAATAACGTTGGTATTTGCTTGAATCTTCCAAATGTGAAAATAATTAATGCTAAAAACATTAGGAAATGAAGAAATATTTTGAATTGTTTGAGAAGAAAGTAATGTAAAATTTCAAAGAACGTAAATCACATAGATAAGATTTTAAAAATTGATACTTGATATAAAAATTAAATAATTAGGATGACAAAAGGATGAAGATGGTTTTATTCGCTCCTAATTTATTCCTCCTAAAAAGTCTGCCAAATATCAGGCATTTATCAGAAAGCTCATCAAGACTTTTTCCAGAGATGAGGTCCAAACTAACTGCTATTATTTTACTAGTCCGCTCTAAATCGACATTTTTAAACGTGTGGCAAGGCAAATCTGAAAGAAGTCACTTGTTTCTTATTCTTGCTTTATTCTCTTCATCGGTACTTTATGGTCTCTGTTGGTGTCAGATTCTTCAAATAATTTTCTATCTAATATTCAACCGAGTTTCGTTTCTGTTATGTTGCCACTGTTTCCTTAGTTGCATTTTATTTGCAAATGTTTCCTTGATAATCAATTAAATTGAGCAATTAGTTAAATGTTTTGAAAAACGAATGAAGCTGAAAAAAATACGGCTGCTCGTATGTTTTGTTATAGACTTTTAACATCGTTTTCAAATTTTAGTTCAGTTTTAAGTGTTGGTCTAGACAGAACATACGAACCAAATGTCTTTAAAATGGACAAAGGTTGGTACTGAATTAATCATCTTAAACATCATCAGTTTTGAAAATTGATTAAAAAATTGAGTTGCGCTATATATTTTCAAAACATATGGCAAAATTTACTAACCCTGGCTTAATATGATTAAATAAACATGTATTAATTTATACTATAAGAGGACTAATGTCGATTGGCCGAAAACGTTCAAAATTATGATGAGAAGAAGAAGTTAATTAACAATTTAACTGAAAATAAACATCTGCCAGACAATGAGAAAACCGTCGGATGAATTTTATTGAATATAGTATTTATGGTATCAGCATCACTAGACAGACTAATAATTGCAAGGTTAAAAAATATGCGGATTAATAGCAAATTGTTTATCGATTAATAACGACTCAAATTGAAACATCCTAAACAAACTCATATTTAAATATCATATAAATCAAATGCATGTAAAGGTAGTCAATCTCAAAAAAGTTTATTATATAAATTATTAGAATTTATAAAATTTCAATGAAATTCCAACTAGTTATCATTTTCTATACGTTCGTTTATAAGAAAGCCTATGTAATAAAAATTTCAACTCTCATTTTAAAGTAGCTCTTCCATCACGTTTACTGATTTAATGAATGATTAGATCGTTGATTATTACAGTAAAGAGAAGCACTTTAAAACGTTTCAAGATATTCAATTCACTTATTGCGAAATGTTAAACAATATTCTTCAATTTTCTGCAACCAATAGTAGAGCAGCGATATTACCATCTCTAGGAATTTTCTCTTTGTGAGCTAAAAGCCGGTACATCAAAAGCAAATGGACCTATATTGTACAAAGACAACACAAATGGTAACTGCAGCCTTGAACCGAAAATGAGTTTCCAAAATTAATTGTGATTGATGTTGTCAAATATACATTTTCTAATGAGTGAGTACTTTGAAGTATTCATTTTTTTAACTCATAGGGTACAATTCAATGAGTCAATCGTAATCTAATCAAAAACGTGAGGTTTCATTTGTTTGTTGTTCAATCTGAAGATGGGTAAATACCGCCATAATAAGCGGAATTAATTAAATAAAAATAAATTAACCCGCAAATTGAATAATTAATTTAAATAGCAACTTAAACGCAATTTGCAATTTACTTTAAGGCTAACAGTCAAGGATCAAAGACAACTAAGCTTTATATGTGGAAATCGCAAATAATTGTTTAATGTGTTTACCAAATTAACCCATAAAATACATTTCTTCTACCTATTGGCGTTGCCTAAAATCTGTCTAAAAGATGAAAACATTAAACTGCAACCGATTGAATTCACGTGATTTTCCACCTACGCACTTGAATTCTAATCCAAATGCTTCAGTTTTTGAACCCATAAAGATAAAACTGATCCCGCTACTTTGATTATTGTAATATCGCGGGTAATACAGCAATCAGTGTTTATTGTAATCAAATAAAACAATTCGGCTAATTACCTGTCTCTCCTAACATAGGCAATACACATTCAAGTTCTTTAATTAAATACGTTTAGAACAAGAACATATTTCAAAGATAATTAGACGCGCCTGATCGGTTCCAATTAGAGGTGCATTGTAATACATAAAATAGTAACTTGAACTTTGGCACAGAAATTGACCCCACCACTCAGACAAAACAGTTAAAGACAAAAATTAATCTCAACTCTCCAAATATCAATAAAATCTCAACAATCCCATCAATGTACGTAAATCAAATCTTTACAATTAGAATAAAAACTGCTCAATCACTTATAAATAGTCATCATAAATATCTGGGAATATTTATTTTGAAACAATTCAAAACACTCCTAAGATTCCAAATATCCAAATATCCACTTTGTACATAAACATACGCAGACCCACATGATTATGAATTTTTAACATTAATTTAATACGAATTGTGTACATTAGAATTATGTTATTAGTGGGACGACAATCGGAAATTGATGAACTCGGATCTTCCATAACTACTGATCCATTTAGATGTGTTAATTTTGCCTTTTGTGACGACTTTTTAGAGTGCAGATAAATAACGTTGAGGGGCCGAAATTTAAATAAATCGACTGATCACGTTCACACGTGAGGTTCAATTTGTTGACCCATGTGAAAGAGTGAAAATTCCAAACTCAAATAACTCGAGTGTTAAGTGAAAGGAATACCATATTCCACTATGTGCTTTGTTGTTAAAAATGATCATGCGTCATTAATTAACGCCGGGAAATATACAAGCAAATAGGTAGTTTAATTATTTATTTAGTTACTAAGAATACATATGTAGATAAAATTGTTTGCACATGTGATAAGTTTTGAAAATGGGGCTTTTCAAATCAAAATGTAAATGGTTGAATGCTTTCTTTAGAAGCAAGAATATATTTGCATATAAAAAGTGAATACTTTTTCACGTAAAAACTAGTCCTCAAAATAGTTCATCGTCCGATCTAAAATAGTATGCACTAAAACCAGAGGTTTTAATAAAGTTCGCGTCTCGACCTTAATTAAATCTCATTCGCATCGCAAGTCAAATAAATGTATTTGTTGTGCTGGGCTCTTCGGATACGACACTGATTTTGCACTTTACTTAGTTTTTGCCACTAAATCAGTGCCGTGTCCGAAAGGCTTGAGTACGAGGATTTTTACTTCTGTTTTTATAATCTAATGAATGAAAGTGATAATATGGAATCTAAATTTATTTTGTTTCCCATGTTTTCCGTATGTTTTCCTGGCCACTGTGAGGCACTGTGAAACGTATTTCCATTCAAAACAATGTTCTTGTTGATTTAAATTGATGTAGAAGGTGCCTCGTAATTATTTGTCAATATTTCTGAGAAACCCTTTTGCATGTAGGTATAAGTAAATGAATAAAAATTGATTTTTGGAAATATATTGAAATGAATTACGCATGCAATTTTTCTGGTAAATTATGAGCACGTTGAGACTTGCCTATATGGGCCGTTTAAACAAATGGAAAACTGTTTTACAATTATTTTCTAATCATTTAGTTAAATCCCCTTTTTTCTATCAATTAATGAAACTTGAAACTTTGAACCAAAGGATAGAAAAACATTATATTGATACTACTTTAACTTAGCGGCGACCTACGGACACCAAATGACGCTGAATCAGATCATAGACACTTGAATAAGTAGTAAACATTTTGAAAAAGCACAATCACGAGTTAAACAGTCAAAAATATTATGTACGAGCCCCTCTTAGCCCCAAATCTTGGCAACGCACCAAAGTGCAGAAAACAAAATATTTTTACAGTTTTGCGTAGGCAGTCTATTATAAACTTTTGGTACACTTTTCTAATCCATAACAACTCTACGGATTATAAGGTGGAACAAAAATGTCTGGATTTGTTCCAATTCAAATATGGTCATGCAAAATCTGAATAATTATTTTATTGCTAAGCAGTCATGGGCTTCAAAGTGCAGAGTTAATTTCAAATAGCCAAACTAAAATGTAATGAGACAAGTTAATATTTGAAAATATTTTTGACTAGAACTATTTTTTAATCAATCATTGATTATTGATCGATCTGTAAGAGCAGTGAAAAAAATAGTGTAAAAATCTTAGTAAAATGTATCCTAAAATAATTCATTAGTTGGAAAAATAATTGTTCTCCCAATCACCAGATGAATGGCATGTTATTTGGCCATTTTTCTTTTTTTGTTTGTCCTTTTGAAGTTTTACTGCTTAGCTTATTTTATCATGCAATTTTTCTCAAAATTTGGTTCGAAAAATTCAAAATGTGCTCAATTCCTTTTAATATTGGTCCAGTATGAATACAGTATTTATTAAAAATTCCCATATTACTAGTCTGATATGTTCAAGCTGCCTAAATATTCTCTACGTATTCAAATTTATATAAGAATATTTACTCAACTTCCGGTAGTTAAATGTTCGATTTTAAAAACACGTAAAATCAAAGTAAATGAGCAAATTCTCGATAACGGTAGCAGAAATCAAATCGAATATTCCTAATAATCAAAAGGTCAGGCGAGAATTGGATAGTTCCATTAAACTGCCCGTTAAAATTACAGTTCGCTGGTTGCTTAATTTGGATAACTAGTTTAGGATGGTACGAACTTTTGAAATGACCCCTATAGATGTCTGTTGGGAAATGTTAGTTTATCTTCACTTTACTGAGGTTAGTTTTATATATGTTGATATGCACATGAAACATATATTTTCGCTTGTAACGTAGCGTAAAATTGAAAATCCTTCTTCGCTTAAGCCACAAAATCGTATTCGGGTAAGTGTCCAATTTTTTTCCACCCTCTTTCCTTATATCCTTCGTATTGTTGAGGATTTTGCTATGGGCCTATTAAGCACACATAATAAGACCCAGCCGACCTCTTATCATCGACACAATGTTGAAGATTTATTTCCATAATACGCTCTTCGTAAGTCAAAATCGCCACCCATTGACCGGTTGCCTTTCAGCCTCTATGTATTTAGGGGTCTACTCAATTGACGGTATTTTAACTCCATTAATTCTAATTGAGCAAAAATATGTGCGCACGGTTTCTTCTATTGACTCCACTGTTATGCGGCTTCTTAATTTAGCATCAGATTGTTGTTCAGTTTATTKYGAAAATGAAGAGAATTACRAGGYGAAKCGCAAACTRCGACAACTTTTCATACTCATTTCACTTCACATACTTTTCACATGGYCATGTGAATTMTAAACTTGYGAATGAAGAATGATGAACAAACAAACACATTAAGAAACSGAATATTTTTAGCAGTAAAACATKGATYATGCTRRAAWATCTCAACAATTAACTTGYAAATSAWGAACGATGAAAAACACAAACGCATTCCAAAACGGAATATTTTTAGCAGTAAAACATGCCAACAAATAAAGCTATAGTTCTAAGAATTTTCTGAAAAGAAAGAAACTCCTAAAGTCSTAGATACAAATTACTCTAGAYACAGAAGGTTCTTACCAATCCTTATTAACCAGACTATKGCGGATTTYAYGGCTAGTCAAAGTACCAGTTGAAGAATTTTTCAATTTTGTAAGCCGAGGACCATTGGAATAAACGTTTCTATTAAATTTGCGGTGATCATTATCGAAGGCGATAATGTAACAAACGGTTGAAGTTGTTTCGTAACTTTTGGAAGAWAGTGATGTATTTCCGCCAAAACATCTGCTTCTTTGAAGARAWGTTGGTGGCTTTCTATAAATGCCAATCAACAAGATTTAAATYGGTGCAAAACGCAGTTCAAACCACTTGACCTCCGATTGTGCGGAACCAAATTTCGCAAAACAACTATAAAACAATCTGTGCTTAATCGAGTAAAAAGACAGCAAGAAACTATCAACTCTCTCCAACAGTACCAGTATAATTGTTTACAGAAGCATGTTTTCCATTGCAGTTACAGGCCTTTACATGAAATGGCGTGAAGAATAAAACAAATTTAAAAAGTAGGTGATTTTTAATATGTTGAAGTCAACAAGTTTGGCAAAACTTGAAAATACATTTTGAGCAATGAAAATAATCATTTAACTCAAAAATAGTCCGTTTCGAGGGTTGGCAATTGTCATTACTAAAAATTGTATTTTCAGTTGAATACAAATTTAAAAATTTCAAAAACTACTCCATAATATCATCACGTTCTGTTTTCAAAAACAGAAACAGACTTGCATTTCTCGTTGAGATGTTGGAAGCATTTAAAATTTTGTTATTTATATTGTTATTATCTGTATTGTTTGTGTTACGTCTTCTATTATTGTTTGCCTTTTTCTGCAATGTTCTTATGTGTCATTTGCTTTATCCACAAAATGTTATTGAGACTTTTTGTAGCAATCAAGCATAATATGTTGATTTGATTTTATTTGATTGCGTGAAGAAATATAAAGAAGATTTGCGGATGGAGACAGAGAATCTGTACATGGAGAATCTGAATACCGATGAAGAATCTGTATAAATTTAATTAAAATTGCAAAGGGCTTTCTCGCAGATTGTAATTGTACTTAGATCTTTGGAAACTGATGAGGCTTTAGGGCCTTTAGGTCGTTGCAGAAAATACTTGCTTCCTAACGTTTTGCGATCGCGAGTGACTTGCATCCTCAGAGATGGTTACTGCGCCGAGCCACCTCTGATGATTTAAGCTTGGGAGCCCAGAAGGCTGCTTGAACTTTTTACTAATGAATTATTTGGCTGACACCATTGATATTCATGAGGAAAAACCTGTTAAAAAACCAAAATAAATATTTCCCGTTTATTTGAGTTGTAGCGAAGTGCCAAGACATAAAATACGCAATAAATTTCAATTAAATTTGTATTATACCTGAAGCAAAAGTTGCCACCTCGTCACGTCCGTATGTAGGTGACATAGTGGAAACAAACAAAAATAATAACAAACCTTGGCGCTGAGCTTAGTGAAGCGAAAAATTAGGTTTTTTTTCAAACAACCGTGTAAAAGTACGAATGACGTGCAAAGTCACAAGACCAGCTCGACAAAACGTTTTATTTACATGCAATAAATATAACAACGTGAACCTGGCAGGTCATATTTTATAAAGAGCAAGGTGTCGTAGCGTGTGATATTTCGTAACTTTGGCAAAAATTTATCTTATCGAGCATCGGATAAAATAGGAAGCAAAACAGCATCAATTTTAGTTTGTGGTTTGGTTCGTTCGAAGAAAGGTGAGTTGCTTGACACAGCACTGCATTTCACTTAACGTTTAATGCATGAGAACAAATAAGTTTACACTTTAAGAGCTTGAAAATAAAGTTTTTGTTTAGTTGGTTTTTGTGTGTTTCAATGATTTTTTCAATGTTTACATTAAAAGTATTAAGAATTTCAATCTAAATGTACTTGTTTTCGCATTTGTTGAAAATCTCGACAGACAATAATAACCTTCATTAAAAAACATAGCTAAAAATCTAAATAGAAGAAAATAAAATTCGAGTCAGTCATTATCGCTAACCTCAGCGTAGCAACCAATTTTTGAAAACTTTACAATATTCCCAGAAATTAATGTAATTCTTAACTAATCACACAACAATTAGTGCAGTTAAGACATTAAAAACTGTTCAACAAAGAGAGGGTGATTTCTTTTAATCTCGACTGTTTGGCTGAATTAGTAAATTTTCTAAATTAGTTGTTTTCTAGTAGTTTTCTAGTAGTTTCTTAGTAGTTTTCTAAGTTAGTCTAAAAAAAGTTGCTAAATTTTTCATTAATTTGAAATAATGCAGTTGCTTTCGGCTAAAATATGAACTGTTAGTTGTAAATTATCCTTACTTACCTTACTTCTGAAAATGTCCAGTTAATTCGGATTTTAATGATACCACTTCAACTAAACTTAGCTTTAGAAGAACTGAATGTTAACAATAAATCCTAATTTATGATCATTAGTTCTTGTTATGTCTATTTATTATTTATGATAATTAGTTCTTGTATTTAAAGAGAACCAGCAGCCCACAAATTCGACATTCTGTTATTTTACTGTCTGTAGGGAAGTTTGTTGTGTAGTCCAAGTCGATTTAAGTCTTAATATTGTGTTATGCAGTGAGTAGTAAGAAAGTATTACAAAACATTTCTATTCTGATTTTGCTTATTAAATACTCTTTTGGTCTCGATTGAAACCTTTTTTGACGCAATTCTCTAAATTTCAGTTCAATTCTCATTCCTCTACATTTACATTTTTCAATTGTGTTTAATTGTCCAAATCTTTTGGACTGAAACTTTTAAACCAATTATAATATACTTTGTTTGAATCGAGAATTATTGTCTGATCAGATGGTTCCGATCATCAGAATTTGCATACATCCAGCATGAATTTGACTAAATTTCCAACAGACTAATTGTGGTTCCAATAAACCCCATCCAGAGACCACGTAAATAATGCAATCGGTATTGGAGCTGATGTCAATTCAATTTCTACGTACTTAAACACCTCAACGAGACAACTGAACCAATTGCTTTGTATTTTGTTCAATTTTGACCCATTTGATTTGTTGTCCAATTAAAAATATATTTTTTTTAATCAAGCAATTTACTATTAAACGCAAATTGCTTGAATTCACATTTATTAACTTACAGAAACAATGATGATAATCATAAATTTTTAAGTACAAAAGGGGAAAAAATGCACACAGTTACCAGAACCAGCAATTGCACCCAAGACCTACTAAAACCAACATATTTTGGCTACTCAAAATTACTTGGTTGACTAGACTTAATTTGAATCAATTTTCAAATTATTCCTAACGTTCTTTGTTTCTTATTGTTCCAGACTAGATTTAAGCCTTAGAGCACCACAACTCCTTACGCAGAACATCGCAATGGATCACGCAAAGATTTTGAACCGTTTGGAATCTTACGAGGCCCAAATTTCCAGCTCCCACGACACCAAGTCGGATGTTTCTTACCACATGATGAAACAATCGCTACATAATATTTGGAGTTCCATTTACTCAACAGAAAGCAGCGATTCGAGGACCGCAAGCATCAAGAAAGTGCAAGAATGTTTGTCGACGTTGGAGCGAAAAGTAACTGAGAATGAGCAGAAGAAGTACCAGCTTTACTATGGCAAACCCCAGCATGTAATCCGGAGCGAAAGATGCTGTTAGCTGGCCACAGCAATCGTTTATAATAAGAAGATGGATGTTGATTCTGTTCATTAATGTACATAAAACTATTCTGTGATATTCTGATGTTATTACTGTATCTCAAACATGGGATGGCATATAAAAATTTAATATCCAAACGTAGGTTTGCCAAGTATTTTACATGTAAAGGAAACGAAATTTAAATCCAGTATTAATGCTTATGTTGATTGCTAGAAGAAAATGTATTATAAGACGGTGTTTTTAATTCAAGAGATGTATCAGCACACACATGTTTAATATGTACCTAAATTAAGATTTAAATATTGTATTAATTCAACACAGACCTAATAGTGTTGAATGTTGAACCGATCTGCAAAATTATTGTGATTATGCCTTTATAAGGCATCTTTTTCAATTAGACACTAAAATTAATAAATTTGTCCTCAAGTTATGTTGGAGTTTTAATATGGTGTTAATAATATAAAATTTTTGGAAAAAAGCGATGAAAAATCAAAGCTAATGTAAATGTTTTAGTGGCAGGGTCTATTTTTTATGCTTGGACAATTCGTTGTAGCAGTTTTTCTCTATGTGAGTATGAAGCAATAATTGGTATAGCGTTTCAGACGTTTTTAAACAAGCCATAATTTCCCCATTTTAATATCTACAACTTTAAAGTGAAAGAAATCGTCAACTGCAACAACACAAGGGAATGTAACTTCACTTATAAATGGATGTAAAACATCGAACGTAATTTTATAATAAACGCAAATATATTTAGAAGTAACTTAATTCTAAATATTTAGAAGTAAATAATAAGACACGCTGTTTACAGTAAGTTGTTTGAAACAGTTTCAAATACATTACAAATAATATTAATTTTAGTCAAAATCGAATAAAATACTTTAATCAAATACCTAAAATGGCATATCAAGCTATTTCCGTACGAAATCCGACCGTAGACAATACAATTATTGAATTATACTTGCTACTTTACAGGGCCAAATCCATTTGGTGCAGGTAAAATGGGTTAAAATGCTTTAAAGCTCAAGTATAAGTGAATAACAGTATTAGCTTTTTCCCATTCTTCCTTAGAATTATTTGAGTTGTATGTATTGTATAATGCTATAAAAATGTTTTCATGGACCTGTAAATGCGTACTTAAACCTTATTTTTCTAAATCCAGGATTATCACAGCGAGTATGTATTTCATTAATGAAAAAACTTAATGTTTCTCACTCAATCGGATTTAATAGAACACGCCACACACGTATCATTCATAAATAATTTTCAAAATAAAGAACCAAAAAGCTTTACAAAATCGGATCTTTATTGTATCCTTAGCTTGAAATAAGTCCAATTTGCGTCGAAGTTGAATCAAATTTTAATAAAGTTTGAATAAAATATATAAAATTATACTTACTTTAATAATTACTTAAATACTGACAAATGCTACTGATAATTATTCTTACTTTAATGCGAGATTCAGTATATTTTACATGAAAACTAATGCCCTACTGGATTATATTTTTCATCAATTTTTTTTTCCAGTTCATAGCAGCATTTCCACTCATCTACTCGGCTTTTCCATTTTCCGTATTGGCTTAACGCGCATAAAAAGATTGAAATGTTCGTGCTGAATTGAGAAATGGATTGAAATGGATGCTAATTATATTAAAAGGGAACTAGAGGTACATACTGTGAAATGCAAAAATATTCAATTAAAATGAAATCAGCTTTTGGCTATAAGAACTAAATTTATATATAACGCAATATTCAAAAAGAATATTTTTGCTTTGAAGCACCCGTTTTCTCCTTGGTTAGAATTTTTAAGCCTGACTACTTGGTTGCTAAATTCAGTCTATTCAATTGCGGATTCTAATTATAAATGTATGCTAACGTGAATTTAAAAAAAAGTAGTGCGCTTTAGAACATACTGGTTTTGATTACCGCCTTTAAAAAGTGGTTCTGGGACTTCTCGAAGGAGTAAATCAAAATTAAATCATAAAGATTTAATTAACTTTTCCTGTTTTTCATAGCAGAATTGCAGCACGTTCGATGCTATTAGTTGGCAAAAATTGTTCGTTTTTTATTACAGTGCTTTGCTTCTCAATGTTTACGGAAGCTTTGTTCAAATTTTGCGTTTAATAAATTCATTGTTTGTCTTTTATATTTTTGCTTTTATATTGCATTGTAATAATTCTTTTATTCATTATGTTCTCTTTAATATCGATTTATTTTGACCGTATGTGAAATACTGTTTGTGAGAACCAATTCAAGCAATATTAGGGATTGAAACTGGTGAGTTATGTTCGTGTTTAGGGGGTAGTGGAAAACAAATTTCCCCTTAACGTTTCGCAAGCACGAGTGATTTGCATCTGAAGAAGATTCAAACCATTTGTGTTTACAAAACGTCGCAAAAAATTATTTTGTTTTGTGCGACAAACTTAGCAGTTTTAACCAAAGGCCTCAAACAACCCAAAGCTTTTCAGTCATAGCGTTTGTTCCGTGAAATGTTTATTGATATTTACGCTGCTACTACCAAGTATTACGTCCGTTATATTTGAAGCAAATTTTCTCAAAATGATGATTCGCAATTATCGAAAATTCTCAGCGATTTCTATTAATGGTGACTTAATCAATATATTAAGACTTTGTTTTCCACATTACAAACTTTTTGTGTAATACCTATTTATATGTTTGCCTTAAAATCCACTAAATAATCTTTAACGTGCATTTGTAACGTAAAATCTGCAGATTTTCAGACATTTACATTCATTGACTTAGGATAATTAGCCGTTAAAAGGTTTTCAAAAAGTTCCCTATTATGCCTAACCTTGGAGATAATACAAATAGCAATAAATACAATTTGTCCTCAATTATTAAGCATTCTGAAATCACTTACGGCAAATTTATGTGTTGGTGTGACCAAATTATTGAATCAAAGCCCAAATTATTGAAGTTTGTATATTGCAATGGTCCATTTCCCACTTTTCCCGAACCGTACAACACGCGGCATTCAAAAAATAAGCTTTTTGTATTATTGGAATAAATATCACGATTTTGTATTTGTCACGTGTTTCCGAATTAGATACGTGTGTTTATTTGTTTTAGATCAATTTTCACCACCGTAATATTTAAAAAACCTTTTATTAAAATCGATAGAATCTGTATAAACGTACTGCTTTCGTCTAACTACCCGATTCGGAAGCCATTGAGAGCGCTAATATTACTCAACTTATACGTGCAGAAGCAAAACGAATCAAAAAAACTAAAATATTTGTTTACATTTAAACCGATAAGCAAAACAGCAAAAACATATTTTGGTGTAGTCGACAGGCGCATATATGCGAATAAAACAAGTTCAAAAACCAGTTTTCTCAGGGGTGGCTGAAAAAAATTGGGTTGCAGTCTTTTATTTTAAAACCTTGATGGAGCTCAGCCGAACTTGGCATTTTGTCATCGCTCAGATATTTTGTTTTATCAAAAATATTATTTGTAAAAATATCATATATCAAATATCATAGTAAAAATGTGTTGAATATTTCCGTTCAAATGATCTTTGAGCTTTTAAAAAATCTTAACACTTCGCTTAATTGTTAATTAAAAATGTTAAGTCCTTGTAAACAATGACAATTTCGCTTTGTATCTGGAGTAGGTACCTATGATTTGCGACTAAACGACAGTGTGTTGAGAAAGCTCAAAAAACTCATTAGTTTCATCCAAAAACTTAATGAAGTCAAACATTAATTTTTCGGTCTTTTAGGCTTTTGGGAAAAACAAATTGTTCATGTCGTTTCGCAGACACGAGTGACTTGCATCCTCAAGCTTGGCTTTCAAGTAAAATACGACTAAGGATGCAAAGCGCTCGTTCTAGCAAAATGCCAGCAGAATTTCAGTTACGACGGCGAACGGTCCGAAAAACCAGTAAAATTCACATTCAAATAAAAACATAACATAATCAAAAGTGTATTAGTGATATTTATTAGCTGGACAGTTGAATGTGAAAAACAATGGGCGTTCTTTTAAAATATATAGAATTTACTTTAAAATAAAATAATTTTCCAGCAATCAATTATGAAAGTCCAGTGCGTATAAATGTGTGCCAGTCATTGATTTATTGGTAACGCATTCGTGTTTTATTGCCGTCAGTACAAAATTTCAATTAATAATAATGCATCCAGTAAACGATTGTCAATGAAGTTACATGAAACGTAATTTCAGTAAAGGTTAATTTTTGTTTTAATATCTACGTACAACTATGGGTAGAAGAATGGCATATTTATAATCAATTTAAATTTACAAATTGAATTTACTAATTACTATGTTTTCCATTTGAGTATTATAATAAATCGCGTTTCAAAAGGCTTTGGCGTTCTTTGTTCAACTGAAAAGAGCTGCTGTTTAAGAATAATCAAAACTTCACAAGGTGTCATAGAGCAGCAAAGTAACAAAGTTTTTTTAAATAGTATTAAATAATACACATATAATTAGAGTCGCATTTTGCACCTTATCGCTCAATTCCAGAGCGGGAAAACATGCAGGGTTTTACAGTTAGTTGAAAAACGATTTTTACTGCCGTAATTATAAACTGAATTCAAAGAATTCAAATCAAAAAACGATTAGTGTATCATAACTGACCATCTACTTTGTAATAAAGCATTTCCGATGTACTGATTATTATATGTTACTGCCTTGAATTCGTCTTGATGATTATTCTAAAATAGCTGGGCTATTTTACAATTCAGTGATCAGCACCCACAAAATAGTTGATTGACGGCTTGCATTGCATTGATTGGACATTGGTTATCGATCGAACGAAAAAGCCGAAGAAGAGCAACATGACGTATTTTCAGCTGTATAGAAGAATATTAAATACAATTTCCGAATGAAACTTATTTGATATGTTGCAATTTTTAAATTTTGCCTTGATTGATATTTCAACTTTGGAGAAATTGTGAGTGCAACCTTTTGCGGTTAGAAACCAGTCCTAAAAGCCATTGGAAGCTTTAAACAGAACACTTTTTAATCGAGGGCTCTAAAAATTTACAATAGAAGTTGCGAGCATTCACGAATAAATTTTAAAATCCAACGCGCCTTCATATTACATGCAATCGGTCCTTAAATAACCAAGTTTATCAAAGGCAAGACAACAACACTTTGTTATAAAAGCTAAGATGAAAGGGTAGTTAAATAAATCAGAAAGCTGGCGTCCATTTGCTCTTTTCGGCTATGAAGAAACCTTGCGCAAAGATAAATATATAATTAGCAAAATTTTTAATAATGCAACCAAACCCAATTTTTGGTCTATTTCGACTTTATTAGCTTTTTTGGGGCAGAGTAACAGCACAACGACTCAGAAGAAATGGACGAATTGTGCACCTGCTCTAAACAACAGAATTCTACTACAAATGAAGAAGTACGGAATAAGAGCTCAACAAAGTTAAATATTCT